GGAATTGTTTAAATTGTTTTTCCTAATTTCCTTTCTCTTCGGGATAGATTCTTTCACCAAGTAATTTGTAGTAATGACTGTGTTGACTTCAATTTTGGAGTGTAGTAGCTATGTTAAAGATTGACTATTTGGTCTTATTGAAGCCAACACAGAACTTGCTGCTGTGTTTTTTCTTCAATGGTAAATAAAATACTTAGAGAATTTGTTTTAGTGTTGATTTGTGGTTACAGTCAAAGTGTTTTGTTTATAATGCTGAGCTTGCGTATTCAGTTGAGGTTTTTTCACTTGAGTTTTTACCAGTGCTGTTAAATTTCTCACTGTTGGGTATCAAAGAACATAACCTAAATATAACAGAAAGCAAATGTGGCTAGGATGTTTCCACTAAAACGTCCTCCTCTGTTCCTTGATGAACCCCTTAGTTTCCTTGTAAAGCTGTCCTCTCTGTGAGTACGGTGTGTGTGCAGTACATCTTGGGGTTTCCCCTGAAATTAGAAAAATCATAATTAGTTTCACAGAATGTTAGTTGCAAATTTATAGCGGCTATAGGCACTTATATTCTTCCTGGTGTGAGTAGTGGTGAGAATTTCTGTTGGTATAGCCCTAAGGCCAGAAGAGGGAGTATTGATGCTTTTTTAAAACTTAATCAGATGCAGCCTCTCCTTTTGGACGTTAACAATGATAGAAACCACTTTAGAGCTGCAGCCGGATCCCGAGCCAGCCGAGCAGCCTTAGCTGCTAGCGGGGTGGCAGCGGCGCCTCCCCCTCCTCTCCGGGAGACCACCGGATCACCTCTCCCCTTGGCCTCGCCATAGCGACCTACGGACAGAACTGCCCGCGGCCAATGTGTATTCCTCCATCATATGCTGACCTTGGCAAAGCTGCCAGAGATATTTTCAACCAAGGATTTGGTTTTGGGTTGGTGAAACTGGATGTGAAAACAAAGTCATGCAGTGGCGTGGAATTCTCAACATCTGGTTCATCTAATGCAGACACTGGTAAAGTTACCGGGACCTTGGAGACCAAATATAAATGGTGTGAGTGTGGTCTGACTTTCACAGAAAAGTGCACCACTGATGATACTATGAAATCACTCTTGAAGACCAGATTTGTCAAGGTTTGAAACTGACATTTGATACCACCTTTTCACCAAACACAGGAAAGAAAAGTGGTAAAATCAAGTCTTCTTACAAGAGGGAATGTATAAACCTTGGTTGTGGTGTTGAATTTGATTTCGCTGGACATGCAGTCCATGGTTCAGCAGTTCAGCAGTCTTTGGTTATGAGGGCTGGCTTGCTGGGTACCAGATGACCTTTGATAGTGCCAAGTCAAAGCTGACAAGGAATAACCTTGCAGTGGGCTACAGGACTGGGGACTTCCAGCTACACACTAAGGTCAATGATGGGATGGAATTTGGAGGATCAGTTTATCAAAAAGTATGTGAAGATCTTGACACTTCAGTAAACCTTGCTTGGTCATCAGGAACCAACTGCACTCGCTTTGGCATTGCAGCTAAATATCGTTTGGATCTCACTGCTTCCATTTCTGCAAAAGTCAACAACTCTAGTTTAGTTGGAATGGGCCACACTCAGACTCTGAGGCCTGGTGTGAAGCTTACACTGCTCTGGCAGATGGGAAGAGCATTAATGCTGGGGGCCACAACCTTGGGCTTGCCCTGGAGCTGGAGGCTTTAATCCAGCTGAAAGAAACCTCTGGGATATCAGAAGACAGGGCCTTAATGTATTTCCAGTGTCACCAGCAGGCTTCCCCCACCTCCACCCAGGAAGGTGATCAAAACAAAGGATGATCTAAAGAGCTGTGTTTTAAATATTTAGGCAGTTACTTGTTAGCTGGTTTCTAGTTGAATTGGTTATCTAGTTACCAATGCTGCAGTCCTGCAGTCACCTCTACATTATTTACATGTATTTAACTGTTAAATGCGCTACCCACCAAAAATGAAATAGACCTTTATGAAAACTGAAAAAAAAAAACTTTAAAAATTTTTCTTAATATCTGGATTTCAAACAAGTGAAAGTCTTAAAAGGTCCTCTTTTGTGAGGAGAGTCTTTTGTAACAATTGAAAACACTTGGGGCAGTAACCTGCTGTGTCTTAAGTTACTAGAACAGGACTGTGCCTGGGCCACCACAGATAGGCTGCAGCAGACGATTCATTTACGCTGATTTGTTTAGATGAGTTATAGATGCGTGTCCCAAGTTCTTTGTCCTGGGTATTGGAATCAGAGCACAGGGTAAAGGCGGAATAGTCTGCAGCTGCTGTGATCCTGCTCTTAGGTTTCCACTCTCAAGGCCTCACAGCCTTACCCCCTCCCCCAGTTTATTCACAGGTGTCAAAGGAAAGCTGAACGACCAACCTACTCACTGTCTTCCATGTTGCCAGTGGTTTCTGCATTTTTATTTTTATTTTATTATTTATTTTTTTTGCGGTATGTGGGCCTCTCACTGTTGTGGCCTCTCCCGTTGCGGAGCACAGGCTCCGGATGCGCAGGCTCAGCGGCCATGGCTCACTGGGCCCAGCCGCTCCGCAGCATGTGGGATCTTCCCGGACTGGGGCACGAACCTGTGTCCCCTACATCGGCAGGCGGACTCTCAACCACTGCGCCATCAGGGAAGCCCAGTTTGTGCATTTTTAGATGGGGATATTATTGGTGTCAATATGGATGGATCTGAGGGCAGAGACAACGGCGTGGATACTTTTTAACACTTCAAAAAATTGGGTTTCTTTTATCCTAAATTTAGCTTTTCAAGTGTTTAAAACATGTTTCAGATTGAGAGTTGCTTTTAAATGTACTAGTGTGGTTAGTAAACTTTTCATAAGATATCTCTGCAAAACTGATACTCCCTGTTCATGCTTAAAATACTGGGAGTTAAAGTTACCTGGAGAACAGGCAAACTTGGGGGGCTGATATGGTTATGTCACCTTAACCATATCTTCTGGTCTGGAGAATGCACCTCAGTTAATAATGACTCTTAAAAAGGTACAATTAGAGCAGTGGCAAGAGGTAACAGGAATTCATGTTGACCTGAAAACTCCTTAAAAAGTCTAATTTAAACTGGTATGTTTTCTAGCAAAACTGAAGAAAATAAGTTAATTTCATGGTTTTATTAAGCTACTTGAGTTTAGGCCTAGTCAAGTGGATTATTTTTTCCTGACCAAGAAATAGTCCTGTCCATCCCCCCGCCCATGCATCTTCCTTTGACCAATAAACGCTCATAGCTAATCCCCAGTGTTTTTTTTTTCTTTGCGGTACGCGGGCCTCTCACTGTTGTGGCCTCTCCCGTTTGCGGAGCACAGGCTCCGGACGCGCAGGCCCAGAGGCCATGGCTCACAGGCCTAGCCGCTCTGCGGCATGTGGAATCTTCCCGGACCGGGGCACGAACCCGTGTCCCATGCATCGGCAGGCGGACTCTCAACCACTGTGCCACCAGGGAAGCCCGCCCCGTGTTACTTACAGCAGCTTCAAAGGATGTTCAAATCAGGCAAAGTTGCTGCGGAGGAAGTTAGTTGTTTACCATGAAAGCAGTCTAATTTTTAATAACCTAGCTAAGCTCTCCTGGAACCTCTACAGACTAAATCTCTTGCTGGTGTTTTCAGATAGTGATTTTATACATTTCAGATGACTTCATCTTAATTCATTTCTTTTGCCTTCTGTGTCTGTCCTGATGGTAGATATGGTGTGGTGCTCACTACAGTGGATTTGAAAATGAGGGTGGGAGGTTAAAGTAGGAGTCAAGCACCTTTGCTAAGGATTAGATTTAATCTCATTTATGGATAACTGGTGGGATTCCAGAAAGAAAAGGGTCATCTTCCAGTGAGAATGGGAACATGAGAGAGGCTGTGTTCCTTGTCTCCACCCCCAATAGTTCCTTTAATTAGTGCTTATACCAGTTTGAGGACTGCCTGTGATGCTTAAAGCCAATATAGCCCAGAGTGGAACCTTCCTGAACCCAGGTTATTACATTGACCTTCCAGAGCTCAAAGGATTCCATCTTACATTTAGTTTGAGAGGCAACAGCTGGAATGAGCTTTCCACTATTCAGGAACTCTGAAATTGAGCAATTCAGACAGTGAATTAATACTACGCCCTTTTGATCTGAAGGATGACAGATGTTTTGAAAAACTGGAATGGGGTGGGGGGCATAGACAAAAGGCCAAGTACCAGAGTTAAAGGCAAGATTAATGAATTAACATACTGTTACTGTATAAATGCACAAGTTTTTTTAAACAGCACCATTTTCGAGTGTGTACACAATATTATAACTTGGCAGGACTTTTAAAGGTGGAAAACGCTAGTTGCTCGTTCAGTAATAAAAGATCTGGTACATAAAAGGATAAGGAGCTGTATTCTACCTGCTACATCCAGCTAGGACAGAAACAAGCCACAAGGAGGGCACACCCACCCAAACTAATACTGGAAAGTTTACTAAGCCTTCACTTAATGATGCTACCAGGCAGGGGGGCTTGATTCGCCTGGAATTATAACTGATTAAGGACAACAGAAATATTACTTGTTTCAAACAATAAAAGTCATTTTGCTGACATTCCATAAAATCGCCAGTTCAGTTAAGAGGCTTTTAAAAAAATATTCTAGACCTAATAAAGTGCCTCCATAAAATTAAACATCCAAGATTAGACTGAGACAATTTCATACTGATGCGCATCTAAAATAGGTCGACGTATAAATAAACAGCGCCTCTAAGTTGCCACATTTCAGTTAGCGAAATACCCAGCCTTCACCGTCTGGATGTGCACAAACCAGAGATAAATCAAGACTTTAGCGTCTACTCTCAACCACTCTTCGACAGGAAAGTACTCAGTACCGTCGGCTTCCTTTGAGAAAACCAAGACATCCCAAGTTGAGCCAGCTGCTGAGCTCCATGCTCCCCAGCAGCAAGGGAGAGAAAGTGCGCAGACCAAATACGAGAGTGAGCAGGCGGCGACCCTGGTGGCGTCAGGTGGCAGCAGCAGACCAGAGCCCGGGTCCTCAACGCAGCTTCTTGCCGGGCAGGCCGTCCCTGGCGCTGCGCGGCGGCGGGCGGGTGGCGGGTGGCGGCGGCACTTTGGAGAGCGGACAGTACTTGATGGTGTGTGCGTTGTCACCACTGGCGCCGCACAGGGGGCACGTGTAGCGGCGCAGCACGGGGCACAGCACTCGCCCGTCGGGTCCCTTCAGGATGTGGGTGGTGTAGAGCGCCACCGCCTCCTTGTTGTTCCGGCAGAACACACACACCTGCAGCTCAGGCTTGAGCAGCCGGGCGGCGGCCGCCCCGGAGGCAGCGTGCAGCCTGGGCTCAGCCGCCCACGCCGCGGCCCGCTCCTCGCGCGGCGCCACTTCGGCGGGGGCAGCAGCGGCGGGGGCGCAGCCCAGCAACACGGCGGCGGCGCGACCAGCGAACGGGCTCAGCTCGGCAAAACGCTCCTCCAGCAGCCCGGCCTCGGCGGGGTCCGCGCACAGCTCTAGCGTGCGCAGCTCCAGCGCGCCCCCCAGGTAGCGGCCCCGGGATCCCGGCTCGTCGCTGTCGTCGTCGTCGTCCTCGTCGTAGTCGGGCGGCCCCAGCGCGGGCCCGGCCCCAGCGTGGGGAGAGCAGCACGACGAGGAAGAACAGGAGGGCGGGGAACCCTCACCGCCTCCGTCCCCGCCGCGGGCACAGCCGAAGCGCGGCTCCCCGTCCACCGCCTTGGTGATGAGCGTGGCGAGCCCCAGGTAGTCGTTCCACGAGCTGAAGGGCTGCGGGTGCACTGGGCGCTGGGAGCTCACGTAGCGGGCGCTAGGCACGAGCGCCATGGGCGGGGGTGCACGGCCGCGGCGGGGCGAGCGGGGCGCCCAGGGAAAAGCCTCCATGGGTGGGCTACGGGCCGCGCGCGCCGCCTCCCCGCCGCCGGCGCTGGCCGGACGGAAGGGACGCGCCGAACCTGCCCGCCGACCTGCCTCGGGGTGGGGCCGCTTCGCCGCCTTTTATCGCGCCCCGCTCCTCTCCGCCCCCGGCTTCGTCGCCTCGGCCCTGCCCCCTGCCCTCCCCCGCCCCGGCCACCTCGCCCGTGCCCCGGACCGAGGCGGAGCTGAGCGGAGGCGGACGCGCGGGGGGGCGGGCGGGCGGGCTGGCAGGCAGCGAGCGCGCTCTGCTCCGGCCCGCGCGGCTCCCGCGCCCCACGCGCTGCGCCAGCCTAGCCAGCTGCGGGGCGGCTTTCCTTCTGGGAGTGGGCGGGCGAGGCACCGCCTCGGGCCGCTGCGCTAATTGGCTGCCGACCTGAGCCCCCTGCGCCACGGGCGCCGCTCCGGACGCTGATTGGTGAATCGGGGGAGGGGGCGTGCCCTACCGCGCAGCTGGTAGGGGTGGGGAAAGTAGGGGAGAGGAGTACGGGAGGGGCGGCGGCAGGGGCCCGCCTGAACCTGAGCCTGTTCCTTGTTCTCTGGGTTTGGAACCGATGACCAGGCCTGGATCTCCCTCGGCCTGGTGGTGAGACCCACCTCCCAGCCTTTAGTGCCCTGGGCTAGCCTTCTGCCTTCTGAGAAACCCCTTCTCTCCTCTCTCCTTCTCACCAGCATCGGCAAGAAAAGACGTGGGGAGGCAAGACTTGGCGCGACCTAAGGATGCAGTTTTTAAGTCAGAGTAGCCCAGCAATCAAGTAACTTCCGTTTGCACAGCGTTTTGGCGAGCTTTCAACTGGGTGAAATCCTCGCACAAACCTCAGAGAGGTTCAGAGAGCTTTTGGTTCTTGCCTAGTAAGTAGTGGAAGGACGCAGGACTTTCCCACAGCACGACGCACCTCCCAACAGGTGTTCCGAGACTAGGTGGCCCTTAGCTGGTGACAGGTGGGGATGCGGGCTGAGCCAGACAATCTTCCGGCCTTAGGACAGTGATTGGTGTGTGTGTGTGTGTGTGTGTGTGTGTGTGTGTGTGTGTAGCTCCCCAAGCTCCCTGCCCCACCCCCAACCCTGGGGCGGGGGGCTGTATTAAAATCTTAGATGTATGTGCAATTTGAATAACAGTGTATTCAGCGTCACAGTTGAATACTTTGAAATGAATAAAATTTTTTTCTAAAAACTTGAAAATTAATCAGAAGACTTGATTAGGTGGCCGCAAGGTTGTTATGTCCTTGCCAGGAGAAGCAGCAATACAGTTTTTAAAAAGATGGAAAGTAGGAAAGGTATTAGCTACTGGGAGGATTCTTGTAGGGTACTGTGGGACAGGGAAAACGCCTCCTCTGGTGGCTGAGCTGGCAGGCAGGGTTGGCTTCATGGGGCAGGGCAGCGTTATCCTTCCTCGCTCTGGAGGAGCTGTGGCTATTGAAACAAGGACTGGGAGGCTGGTGTTGCAGCCGTCATTAGTGGTCATTAGGCTATGCTGATGGGTTTGGCTATGCCCAGCCGGTTTAGAATAGCCCAGGAGGGGATGTCCAGAACCTAGCGCTGGCACAGGTTAACATTAGAATGAATGAGTGAGTCAGAATGTTAGCAGTGGAAGGGATCTTTGGGATCATTCACTCCGATCTTACTTTACAGATAAAGAAAATGAGACCCAGAGAAGAGAAGGGCTCCTTTAAGGTCACGCGGTGAATTTGTCACAGCCAGAACTAGGACTCAGGCCTCTTCATGACTGGCATGGTGGCCTTCCCACTATATCATGGAACCTGAAGGTATTTCAGACTTTGAGTCTGTGCATGCATCAGCAGAAATCTAGTGTAGCACACAGGGAAAACTGGAAGAAGAGAAGGGAGATGGGGCCTTGTGCCTTTGGCGTGGGCCCCTGCCCTCAGGAGCAATCCAGAGGCCATGTAGCAGGCATGGGGAAGGCCTTGAGGCGGTAACGTGTTGCCTGTTCCGGCCACCTGTCTGCATGTGGGGTGGAAGAAATGTTTTTCAGTCTCTTCCTCACCTACTCCCTAACAGTTAAGTCCCCAACCAGGCAGTGATATTCTGCACTTGCCAACACAGTTCCTTTTCCAAGTTTGTGTTGGCACTCAAGTTAAAAAGCTATTCCTTTATTTCCTCCCGTCTCCCACCAAAAATAAATAAAAGGGCCCAGATGGCGTGGGGCTCCTGCAGAAGTGTGGTGGGTTTGCTGACACTGAACTCCGAGCTCTTACCACGAGAACGCTGGCCCCCAGAGTGGTATGAAGGATATTATTCTATAAATGGAAAATTCCTGCAGCCTGCATACTTGCAAGGTATGCAGGCTTTTCAAGTTCTGAAGACTGGAGCTACCATTCTGAGAAAAACTTCTGCAAGGAAAGTTTAAAACCGCCAGCTGCTGGGCCCAGTCCCCCTTGGTCAGACCAAAGAGAGGATGGCAAATAAGCGAGGCCTTCTTTCCTCCCTCACATGACTTTTTAGCCCTTGTGGTTTTGCAAGGGGAATAAACACTTTTAAGTGAACATGAATGGAAACAAATGCCTTGATTCGGAGCTACAGCCTGGGTGGGTGGGTTGTGGTGATTGTGAGATAGATGCCCTGGAGAGAAGTGAAAGGATGCTCATGTGTCCTGGGGCCTGGCTCCGTGCTCTTTCACTAGGGTG